TTTCCATTGAACTTTTTTTGTGTTTGCCATCATGAAAAAGGGGGAGATTATTGCGAATCTGATTTCAGGGAATAGAATTTTGATGATATAAAACACTTCTGTTTCTCCACAAGATCAAAACTACAATTTGAACCAACTCAAGATTGGGTAGACTAGGTCTGAGTCGGTTTGTAATCTTTTTCTTTTCTTGAGTCAAAGTGGTTTTTGATGCTAAGTAATCTTACACACACACTTGGGAGAAAATTTCTAACTATTTTTAGAGTGTACTATTTTTGATAACATCATCTGGGATAATCCATAAATCAGCCTAGACAATCAGTTAAAAATAGAAACCCTAATTAAGGGATCCTGGTTAAGGCAGCAGTCATTAAGCGCATCGTCCTGGATGATATTCATATCGGTTAGGATGATAGGCTCAAATTTGAAAGAATCAGTCACCAGAGCTATTTATGTAGCTTTTATTTTTAGACATCATCCAGAATATTATCCTGGATGATGTGGTACAATTATGCCTAAATTAATCTGATAATTAAGGTTTAATTGCTCGATCATATCATCGTGGAAGATTGCAGGATCAACCGGGATGATCAATTCAAAAAACTTTAGTTGTTTCTGGATGATCAAACATCAGCCAACTTCAATTCAGGGCGATGCTCTGGATGATATGCACTGAATTAAACTAATTGTCTAGGACGATCATGAAATCGGCCTGGACGATCAGGTTATTTTTTTATCATCCAGATATCCATTCAGGGCAATATTCTAGATGATATTCAATGACTTGTACTAATCATATAGGATCATATCCTATCATCCTGGATGATATAAATAAAAACCTTTTGATCATCCCAAATTATCCTGGCTAATTAAGCTTAATTTATTCTGATCGTATAGTACGATAATGTTGGTTTATTACAATTAAGAGCTATTCCAAATATCTTCTATTTAAAATCTCTTGTTTTACCCAAGAGATCATTGTTTACTACTGTCTTGACCTGAGAAAGCCTAGAGGAGAGGGAGAGAAAGGGAGAGAGAGAGAGGGAGAGAGAGAGAGAGGATCTTGTGACGGGGAGTTTATGAGGGGTTTCACAAAGGTTGCTCCAAGAAAGGATCCAAGTCGTCTTCTCCAATTATCATCCCTAGTCCTTGGAGGTTTGAGAAAGATCTACTTCAGCAATAGATCAAGGTTCTCTGCCTGCTTCAGGAGGAAGCAAAGGGAGTCAGGTTGTCTGCCTCACCAGTGTTAGTGTAAAGGAGGTTTGTAAAGGCTTCTTCGCCTTGTTGTGGGAGCAAAAGGAGAGTCACTGGGTTTAGTGCAATACTTGAAGGATGCCTCCGGGGAGTGGATGTAGGTCGAGTTGACCGAACCATTATAAATTTCTGTGTTCTTTATTGCTGCTTTTTTCGTATTTAATTTTTCCACTTTGATTTTCTTTATGGTGAACTTTGGTTTGAATTTGTGTTTTGATTGAAAATTTTTTTAAATACTAATTCACCCCCCTCTTGGTTAGCCTTAGGCTAGTTCATAAGGGCTTAACATCCCTAACGAACTTTTAAACTCAAAAAATTTTTTGATATTTTTTTATTAGATTACTAGATCCTATACATATTGATATATAGTTATCTAATGTGTTTTCTCGGAAGTCATACTATATCAATAATTGTTAACTGATTTTTTATTAAAATGGACTCCATATCGACATCCAGGAAGAATCACCATTTTTCAGATTTATATTTCATTCCCTAATATTTGATTACATTTTTTTAATTCTCTTATTTGCATGCTTTGGGTTCTATTTTTGGTAGACCTTTACAATCAGACCATGCCACTGTATCTCAATCGAGGCCATCTATAGCTGGGATATTGGCTGAATTGGATATTACCAAGAAATATCCCAAAATGATTTGGATAGGTTCCAAAAAGTTGGGGTACATAAAAAAAGTTGATATTGAAAATGTCCCAGATTTTTTAATCTCATTGTAAGGTTAAAAAAAATTCAATTAATGAATGCTTCATGGTTCATCTGCAACTAAAAAAAAAAATTGTTCCAAAATTTTAGTTTAAGAGAATATTAAGGTTGGGATTGAAAAGGAAATACAAAGTGAGAATCAAGGTGTTTCCCTTGAAAAGAATATTGGTGAGTATAAGGTTTGTGACGACGAGAATAAAAAAGTTCTCCTAGAGAAATCTATTAGGGATTTATAGAATAAAATTGATGGACACGATAAACTCAACCAACGTAACTTGATAATATCATTAGAGATATTGAGGGTCCTGCTTTAATTAACTCTTTTTGGCCGCTTATGGAAGAATTTATTCAACAGGAAAATGTTCATAAATTAGTGGAAACTAATGGAAAGGAAATAGTTATTATTTATGAGGAAGGATTAGCTCATGATAATTATTCCTTAAACCAAATGAATGGGGATAATGCTATTCTCAGTATTGATCAATCACCTACAAACCAATCAACACCAATAGATTTAAGGGATGATGCATTGGAAGAAGGGGAGTATGTTTTTCATGACATTTAATCTTCTAAGGATATAATACAAGGCAACACTATTACTTCTATGTCACCTCCTTATGGGAAAGCTGTGAGCAATGATGAGTGCTATCAGATTGTTTCAAAAAAGAAAAATAATAGTAAGAATTCTGTTAGATGGACCTTCAGAATAAGCCGTGCATCAAATGTTTCATCTTTTATTAATGGTTAAAGCTCTTGTGTGGAATATGAGGAGTATTGGTGGAAATTTATCCAAATATATAGTTAAGAACTTATGTATAATTGATGATATTCACCTACTTATTTTAATTGAGCCCTTAATTTCTAATGTTATATTGGATTCTGTTCATAGAGAAATTGGGTTTAATTTAGCTTTTGGTAATTGAACTAATAAAATTTGGATTTTTTTGAAGCATTTTATTTTTTTTAGACATTATTATAGATTTTCCTCAAACAGTTAACACTAATGTTTGTCTTAATTAGTTATATTGCTATGCTTCTTTTATTTAGACTTCTTGTTCTAAATTAGGTAGGAAGTTGTTGTGGAAACAAATCACTAATATTTCTTCTTCTACCAAGGAGAAATTATTAGGTTCGGACACCAGACACAGCTTACAGTTCGGTACTTCACAATATCGAATGGTACTGAGCTCGGTACTATAACGTATTGAGTTTGGTACTTCATAGTGCCGAGTATACTGAGCTTGTACTGAGGCGTACCGAGCTCGGTACTATTTGGTACTACTCAGTACAGAGTTCAATATCGAGTAGGGGTGATGTGGCACATTTTCATTGGCTCCGAATGGCATCCGGTGTCCGAACCCAATAATTTCCTTCTATTATGAAGGCTCCTTGGTTAGTTAATAGATTTTAATACTATTATAAATGCTTCTGAAAGAATAGGAGGTAACCCACCTAATTTTGAAGTAATGGAGGACTTTAATGATATGATTCTGGATTAAAATCTTCATGACATTTGTTTTTTTGGTAATGCTTTTACTTGGAGTAAGGGTACTATGTGGAAAAGATTAGATCTTATTCTCTTTAATGATTATTGGGTTTCTTCTTATCAAACGATTCACATTAAACATTTAACTAGAACATTATCTGACCATTCTGCATTACTATTGATATTTCAATGAATATTAGAAATATGTTTCATCCTTTTAGATTTCAAATATGTGACTTCATGATGAAAATTTTTTAAATGTTGTTCAAAGTAACTGACATGCCTCACTTTTTCTTTCTGATAATATTTTTGGAATGACCAGTTTGTGGTTTAAACTTAAGAGACTTAAACAAGAATTTTCCTGGTGGAACAAATGCATATTTAAGAATATTTTTTCTAATATTGTGCTTGCTGAAAAGAATGTTGACAATGCTGATATTATGTACATGAAGGATCCTTCTTTTGATAACTTGTCTATTCTCAATGTGGCTTAGACTTTTATATTCAAATTTCAATAAAAAGAAGAGGCTTTTTGGAGGCAGAAAGTTGCTTCTAATTTTCTTGTGGAGGGTGATCATAATGCCTCCTTTCATAATATTGGTAATCATAATAAAATGACTAGACATACTCAAAAAATTACATCTCTTGATGGCAATACCATAGATAACCTTGGTTTGATTTTTTCTTATGGTATTAATTACTTTAAAAATTCTTTCAATAATGATTTTTGTCTAGATTTAAACTTTGATTTTTCTTTTATTCCTACTCTTATTGATGATGAGGAGAATTTTACTTTGGTTAAGGTTCCTTCTAAGAAGGAAATTTGACATATCATGAAAGATATGAACACCAACTTGATAGCTAGCCTTGATGATTACACCAACAAGTTTTTTCTTAAAAACATGGTCTATTATCAAAGATGATCTTGTCAATGCTATTATGGATTTCATTTTGGGAAACCTGATTCCTGCATTTTTTACTTTAATTACTATAGATTTAATTCAAAAATGTAATGTTATTAATTTTTGGAATGACTATCGTCCAATAAGTTTATGCTCGAATGGTCCTTTTAGATCCCAATTAGTGAGAGAAACTAGTGAGAGAAACTCTGAGGAAACGGTTTGGATTTTCACGGGATTTCAAATTTCTTTCTTCGTATGAATTGCAGGGAATCAATGGCGGCGTAGGTTCGCCGTCATCTTAAGGCCGGCGGCACACTGGAAGATCATCGCAACAGTACCAAGCCACTGACCGCTTCAGCTCGTCCGCTTCTATCGCCGCCAGTGTTCGGAGATGAGAAGGCTGGATTCAACCAGATGGCTAAACCGAGATCAAAAAATGGTATTGTTATTAATGAAGGTGGCTTTGTGGCAGGGAAAGAACCATAAGTGATTGGCAAAGGAAATGGCATAATAGTTGAGGAGAAGTTTAAGAAGCTGTTCAAAGGAGGGGTGCCATTGAAACAGAGGGAAGGATGTGATGCTTCTCCTTCATCGAGGCCGTTGATTTAGAAATTAATTCCAAGCAAAGGGATTATAGATGTCATGAAGGAAGAGTCTTTGTTTCCGAACTCAGTGGATGTCTTCAGTCCAGAAAAAGGAGATGCACTAGGAATTCTGGAGGAGAAGATAGATTCTGTGAAAAAACCTCAGAATTCTGTAGAACAACAAAAAATGCTACACTCTGATCTGATGAAAGTCAGAAATGTTGAATCTGCTGAGAAGGGTGATTATGGAGATGATGTGGCAAATCCAGTTCGTGATAATGGTGAAGAGCAAACAAATGCATGGAGGAGAAAAGAAAACATCAAAGTGTCAGAATTGCAATTGGGTAACTTCTTAGCTGAAGATGGTGTGACTGTTAAATATAATGAACAAAATAAGAAAGACAATGCAAACAAGCTTAGTAACTCTATAGTTATCAAAGTATTTGGAGGAGAACCACCTGTATGGGTAATCAGTTCAGAGCTCAGGAGACAAGGGTCTCAATTTGGGAAATTTCACCTCACTATGCTAGGTATGGGGTGGGTGCTCTGCTCTTTTCCCGAATCAGACCAAATGGAAGCTGTTATGGCTAATGGGCTGTGGTTTCTCAATGGATATATAATTGGGATGGATGAATGGCCCCAAACTTTCTCTCCAACTTCGCTTAAAGGTTTGACAGCTCTGATTTGGATCAGATTATCAAATCTTCCTCTTCATTGCTGGGACAATATAAACATTTGTAGAATTGCTTCAATGATTGGAAAACCATATTTACTTGATGGAAACATGTTCCAATGGGGACGGAGAGAATTCAGAAAGGTATGTGTCCAGATCAAATTGGATGCTAAGCTTCCACTAGGTGTTTGGGTGGAAGGTAGTAATGAGAAATTCTATCAAAAGATAGAATATGAACGGATACCAAATTTTTGTTTCAAATGTGGCCTAATTGGCCACAACAAATAAGTTTGTAAAGAAAATGACGAACTTCCCAAGAATCAAGAGAAGACAAATATTTATGATATTCCAAATGTAGTGAAAGAAGTACGAATTCAAGATGGAAATGGCAGAAGCAATGAAGATTCAGAATATGGGCCTTTGATAGTTGTTAACCGTGGAAGGAAGAGGGTTAATAACAAAGCCCAAAAATTTACTCAAAATCCCTTGAATAAAGTTCTGTGGAAAAGAAAAGAATCTAGGAATGCTAAAGACTCATCAGAAAACACAGAGGCTGTTAATGTTAAGGAAACTGTAACTGTAGCTAGTCAAATTCTTGATTACTCTGTCTTGATACCTAAAGCAAATGGTGAAATTTTAGCTCGGGAAAACTGCAATGCTTCTTCCACAAAGAATGGCCCAAATACAAGGGAGAACATCTCCATTCCTATAGCAGAAAACAAATTCAGTGCTCTATGTGATCAAGTTGAAGATGGAGAAATTGTCCAGGAGAAAGCAGATGAATTACCATCCTTAGTAGGACCACCTAAAGTAAAAACATCTAAAAATTCTATCAGTAATACAATACCATTGGAATATGGCAAAGAAGATGGATCAAACATGGCTAAGAAGAAGAAATCAAAACAATTGAAGGACCTTGGACCAATTAGCACCAATCCAAGGGGTAGGAGGATGGAGATAGAAATGAATGGTATTATGGGGAGTTCTTCCCCAATCCTTCATTAATGTATTCGTTAGCATTTTGGAATTGTAGAGGAGCAAGAAAAAGAGGTGCTTCTTTATTCCTTAAAGAATTTGTTAAAATGCATAAAGTTCTTTTTTTTGGATTGTTAGAGACTAAGTTATCTACTTTTGATATGAAAGAGGTCAAGATGCTTATTAGAGAAGGTTGGGATTATGTGATGGTGCCTTCAAATGGGTTATCTGGTGGGATAATTGCTCTTTGCAACACGAACCTAACTGAATTCTCTTTGCTAGAATTCTCATCCCAATGTATCATTGGGGATCTCTCAGTTTGCAACAAAAATAAATGGAGGGTGGCTTTGGTATATGGGAACAAAGATTTGTATAAAAGGAGAGATCTTTGGAACATTTTGGATTTGCATTCTTCTAATGAACTCCCCATGGTGATCGGTGGAGATTTAAATTGTCTCACTTCAAGGGAAGACAAAAAAGGGCCAAAGGAAATGGAGGCTTTCTTTGCTAATAATGATTACCACGATGTAAGATTTATTGGGCCTCGGTTTACTTGGTGTAATAACAATGATGGAGGAGCTCGGAACCTGGAAAGATTCGATAGTTGTTTCCTTAACTCTATGGCTTTAAATTCTTCTAATCATTTGGTTGTTAGGCACCGAGCTAGAATAGCTTCCTATCACTGTCCAGTTATCATTAATTTCCTTGAGTTGAAATCATCAAATTCAATGTTCATTAAATTTGAGGATGTGTGGACATCCTATTCTGCTGCACTAGCTGTGGTAAAAAATGAATGGAACAAATCATTCTTGGGTAGTCAATCCCAGATTTTCAACTCTAAGTTCAAAAGAGTATTAAAGGCTCTCTTTTTCTGGAGCAAAACCAAGCTGAAAAATTTGATCCTTCTTAAAGATAATTTAATGGAAGAAATTCTGAATCTGCAAACAAAAGAATCAAACACTGGATGGCTAACTGAAGAAAAATGTTGGATTCTAAAAGCCAAGGGTTTTGAGCTCAACTCAAACATGGCTAGATTGAACACTTGGTGGAAACAAAGAGCAAAAGTCAAATGGATGGAGGATGGAGACAATAATTCAAAATTTTTCCATGCATTTTCTAGTGCAAGAAGGAGCTTGAATAAAATTGTTAAAATAAAGGATAATGATGGGGTGGTACTAAAAGAACCAAATCAAATAGAAGGAGTTCTCATTCAGTTTTTCAGAAATAAATGGAGACAGAGAATATGCAACATGGAAGGGTGGCCATTGCCGAGAAGTGTATTGAATGAGGATGATAAATCATGGCTAGCAAGGGAATTCTCATTGATAGAGATTGAGGTTGTCCTAAAACAATTGGGAGGTAATTTGCACCAGGTTGTGTTGGTATTACTTACTCATTTATTAAAGCATATTGAAGTATCATCCATGTTGATTTTGTAAATGCAATCAATTACTTTCTTTTCCATGGAGAGATGGATAAAACTTGGAAGGACACTTTAATTATTCTCATTCCTAAAGTGTCAAATCCGTTGCTTCCTTCTAATTTCAGACCAACTAGCTTATGCAATTCTGTTTACAAGGTGGCAGCTAAACTGATCTTGAACGGGTTAATTTCAGTAATTCCAAAGCTAGTCTCAGAGGAGCAGGTGTCTTTCATCAAGGGTAGATCTATCTCGGACCAGCTGCTTGCTCAAGAGGTATTCCACAAATTCAAGTATTCTAAATCTTCCAAAGGCCTTGTGTCTTATAAAATTGATATGGAGCAAGCTTATGACTCAATGAGTTGGGTCACTCTTGAAGGTGTCTTAAAATATTTTGAATTCCCTCCTATGTTTTCAAAGCTGATTTTGGAATGTGTGGTTGAACCAAGGTTTTCTTTGATTATTAATGGCAATCTTTCCGATTGGATTGAAGCTAAGAGTGTCTTCCAGCAAGGTTGCCCACTTTCTCATCTTCTTTTAATACTTTGTCCTCAACTCCTCACCAATGCTCTTGCATTATCTTCTATTGGTATTAGCCTTTGTCCAAATGGGCGATGGATTTTTCACCTATTGTATACTGATGACGTGATGATTTTCTCTGAAGCTAATAAGAAGGTGGCAATGGAGATTAAATGCATTCTTGATAAATTCAGTGTTTGGACTTGACAATGCATAAACGTTGAAGAATCTGCCATACTTTTTGGGAAGATAGTTAATAGAAGGAAAATGAAGTCTATCAAACGAATTATAGGCTTTAAAGAGGTGAAAGAGTAGTCCTATCTTGGTATAAAGATCACTTTATGGAGATTGGTAGCTAATTATTTTCAATTCATCATTGAAAAATCATTGAGGAAGCTTAACACATGGGGAAGCAAATTTATATCTTTAGCAGGCAAATTAACATTGGTCAAATCGGTTATTTTGTCATTCCCAATTTTCTATAGCACACACTCGCTTGTTCCTATCCAGGTGCTTGAGGAGATAGATAAATTATGTAGAAGTTTTCTATGGAACAAATCTAATGGAAGGTTGGGAATCCATTATGTCAGCTGGAATGAGTTGTGCAAATCGGTAAGAAAGGGAGAATGTGGGCTGTGTTCCTCAACATCTAAGGTGGCTGCTCTGAGAGGAAGATTAGCTTTACGTTTTAGGAATAATAAAAACTCTCTCCTACACAATATATTGGATTCTAAGTATGGTAATAAGATTGAGATTGAAGATAACAAAAGAAGAATCTCATCAACATGGAAGATAATTATTGATGATGGAAAAAGCTCTAATTCCTGTCTTAAGATGGAGTATTGCCAATGGATCTTCTATTAATGACCTTGAAGATAAATGGATACTGTATAGAAGTATCAACAATTTGCCAACATTTCTTATCCCCCAAGGTGAGGAGAATATAATGTTGGACAAATTTATTGAAAACAAGAAGTGAAATGCTACAAAATTGCTGAAACTGTTTGGAGCTGAATTGGTGGAATTGACTCTACAAACAGGCATAAAATCATCTCTTCGGGAGGATGAGCAGGAGCTGATTTTCTAGAATTCTGGAAAGACAATTTCTGGATTGATTATTGAATCTAAGCAGCAAAATTTACATGAGTGCAGATTTTCTAAATGGCTAAAGAAGGCAAAAACTAACCCTCGGGTGGAAATATTTTGCTGGAGGCTTTCAAAAATGCAATTCCAACCTATCAGTTTCTAACGCATAGAAGATTGCAAGAGAATGAAGCTTGTCCAAGGTGTTTGGACGGCATTGAGGACGTGGAACATGTTCTACTCAAATGCAGCAAGCTGAAAGAGGTTATTTCATAGTTAAACAACTGGGGATTTCGGATTCCAATATTTCAAAACTTTGATGAATGCTATACTTGGTTAGATTCAATGGCAAAACAAAATGGTATGCTTCTCAAATTGTTTTGTAATGTTTTGTACCTCTCTTGGAAAGCTAGAAACAAACATGTACATGATAAAGTGGTAGAAGGTGCAAACTCTATAGTTGCTAATGATGTCAGCTTTTCTTCAAATTCTAAATTGATTGTTAACTCAAAATCGGAATTAAGGGATGCTAATCAGTTTTTAGACTATTGAATACTTGGCATCCCCCTTCACCCGATTGGTTAAAAATTAATGTAGGTGCTTCACTTGGATCCTATCATAAAGCCAGTGTAGGAGGAGTTATCCATGACTAGAAAGGGAGGTTTTTATTGGCTTTTGGAGATTCATGCATACATTAGGACATTTCTCAATTGGAAATGCTAGCTATCAAGTATTTCAAAGGAGTTATCAAAGATTGGATGTTCAAATATAAGGGAGTAATCATAGAAGGAGACAATTTAAATGTGATGAAGATTCTTCAAAAAGCTCGGCTTAATGACTTCAAGGGATGGAAGACTTTAAATTTTTTAAAGATTTTAATCATATTATCTTTAATTGTGTAGAGAGAGGTAGCAACAAGTTAGCGGATTTGTGTGGTAACCTTGTTATTGTTAGTAGTTTTGTTTGGGAAGATTTGGAATGTAATAAGATTCCTCCTTCTTCTGTTACTTTGTTGAAGGAGGAATCAACTCTATAGTTTCTATTTTTAGCTTTTAATGCATTTATTGCTATTTCGAAAAAAAAAAAATATAAGTTTATGCTCTTTTTTTTCTTTTTAACTAACTCATAGCTAAAATCCTCATTGGTAGATTAGCTATCTTTTTACCTAAAATTATATTTTTGGAGAAAATACGTTTTGTTACAGGTCATTCCATTTTTTATAATGTTCTCCTTTCTCAAGAATTAGTTCATGATTTTGCTTGTAAAGTTGTTGGTGGTAATATTATTTTTAAAATTAACATTACCAAATCATATGACAATTTAAATTGGGAATTTCCTTATACCAACTTAAAACTTCTTGGTTTCAATTTGCAGTTCATAATTTGTTCAAAAATGGTATCGAGAATTCTTTCTTTCTTGTTATCCTAAATGGTGAATATCATGGCTATTTCAAATCTTCTCACAGGCTTAGGCTAAGTAATCCTCTATCTCCTACTCTCTTCATTATTACTGTGGAATTCTTATCCAAAGGGCTTAAAAATCTTTTAGCTTGTATCCTATCTTGAATTTTTGAACTATTAGTGGTTCTCCTATATTACACATTTGATCTTTGTTGATGATTTCATTATCTTTACTATTGGCTCTATTAAAATGCTTTACATTCTTTTTAAATATTTCAACAAGTTTCAAGTTGCTAGTGGGTTAATGTTCAATCATTCCAAGAGTTATTTTATTCCTGCCAAATCTATATCCCCTAGGAGGATTTCTAGTATTGAAAAAAAATTTCGGTTTTCCCCAAAAAATTTACCTATTAAATACCTAGGTACTCTTACAAGGGTAACAAACATTCTCATTTTTTTGATGATATCTTTACTATGATTCATAAGAAACTTTCTTCTTGTTCTTTCTATTTTCACTCCTTCGGTGGTAGACATACGCTTCTTAAAAAAGTCCTATACTATATTCCTATATACTTGCTTCATACTTTATGCCCTACTTTAAACATGTGTCATAGAATGGAGGTTTTAATTAATAAATTTATTTGGGGAACTAAAGAAGGTAAACATGCTTTCTTGTGGGGGTCTTGGAATGATTTTGCTAGGGCTATTGATGAAGAGGGATTAGGTTTCAAAACTTTTACTGATATGTTCGAAGCTTTTGCCCTTAAATTATGGTTTTTTTTAGATATAAGAAAATTTTCTAGTCCAATTTTAGGGTCTCTAAATATTGTGTTGGGAAATATCCTCCTAGTTGTTATTTGAAACAACATAATTCTTTCAATTGGAAAAGATTATGCTTCATTAAATGGGAGGCTGAAGAGTTTGTTCAAAGGGGTATGAGATCTGGCAATATGTTTTTTTGGCAAGACAAATGGTTGGGTAATTTTTCCATTGATAGCCTTTTAAATACTCATTCCACTTCTACTTGTAAAGTCAAGGATTTTATTATTAATTGTAATTGGAATATTAATTTACTTTCTGATTATATGCAAGATTTTATTATCAATATAATTCTCATTATATCCATTCATTTGGATACCAAGGATTTGATTTTGTTTAATCTTTCTGATAATGATAAAATTTTTACTAAATAGGTTTGGAATTCTATTAGGCAAGTGCATCCTAAAGGTTTAATCTACTCCAAATTTTGCCATGCTAGTATTCCTCCCACTTATTCTATTCTTTTTGGAGGATTTAACATAGTCTCTAAATTTCAATGATGTTATCATATTGAAAAATCTAACCATGTTTTTATATAAGGTCCTATTGCTATGAAAGTTTGGTTATTCTTTGAGAATATGTTCAATGAACTTTCTTATACTTGTTATAATTCCATTTTTGATCTTCTTAAAGATTGGTTAATTACTACTAAAGGTCATATTAGGAACATTATCCATGTTCTTGTTTATTGGTTTCTTTGGAGGAGAAGAAATGATTCCAAACATAAGGGGATTAAGATGAGTGCCATTGGTATTATTTTAAAAATTAAAGATAAAATCTTACAGTTGTTTATGGCTAATCTTTTGAATGGTGATTCTTTTAAAGTCTTTCAACATGTAGCTTCTGAGTTGGGTTCAACTATTCAACCCTATTTTTTTATTTTTGAAGACAGAGTTATTGATTGTATAAAACCTCTTCATGGTTGTTTTAAACTTAATATTGATGTGTTGGTGAATAATTTAAATGTTGGCTGTGGTGATATTATTAGAAACTATAATAGACATGTTATCATTTCTTTTGCAGGTCCTAGTAATGCTAAGACTATTATTAAAGCTGAGATTGAGGCTCCTCTATTTGGTATTCAATTATGCATTTCTGTAGGTATTACTAATGCCTGGATAAAAGTTGATTCCTTGCTTTTGAATCATAACATTACAGGGGATTCTATTTCTAATCATGCTAATTTTTATAGGTTAAGAGATATTTAGTTTTCTTTCTTACATAACTTTGAACATATTTTATATCTTAAGGGAAGGCAATGTGGTGGCTAATTCCCTTGTAAAAATTGGGCGTAATTTGAATGGTTTCAATGAATTTACTGAATTGTCTTTACCTAAAGAGCTGAGAGGGATGGTTAAATTGGATCAGTCTGGTTTGCATTACATTCGTTTTAATTAAGGTTTGGTTATTTAGCCATTTCCATATTGTTGCTCTACTGCTGCTTGATCTTGGGTTTGTTTTTTTTGTTTTCTATGGTTGGTTGGGTTTTGGCATTGGTATATTTATGAATGGTTCTTTTTTGAATGGAGTGTTTGGGTTTTTGGCCCTGGTGATCAAGCGATTCATGATGTTTTGCTATGATTACAACCTGATGGATATTAACTTTTGGCTCCTTTATTGCTCATCTGATCCTCCTTTGGTATTCAAAATATTATATGGTTTGGCGGGTGACTTAAATAGTTTTAAGCAGGAAGAGTTCCATAGTTACTAGGGAGTTTCTGGGTGTTCTACTTTGCAAAATTATTACTATTTGATCTCTAACAAGTTATTTGGTTCTCTTAGTCAATCAGAGAAATTAAACTTTAATAGTTTCGTGGGGTTTTGGTGATTTGCTTCCATACTTTTAAATAGGCCTTAGGCTGATTGTGTGGCTTTTGGTTTTTTCCATTATCCAATAGGTGCTTC